ATGACGGCAGTCATGCCGATGGCAATGCAGTCGAATATGAGAAAACATATGAGCCAGCTGGGCTTCTTTGACCGTTGGCCCGAATGCTGGAGGATGAGGGCAACGGCCGTGTAGCAGAGAGCGCTGCATATCTAGAAAAGCACAACGAGAACATGTCAATCTCTTGGGCGTGACACAATGCGGGCGGCGCGGTAGCAGCTTGGGGAAATGCATACCAGTAGCTCGAGAACGACAACATTGATCAAGAGATCACGGTCCTTGAGATATATCATGACGGCCACAAAGCCATTGAGTGAGGCTCCGGCCAGGGCTCCAAGCAACTGAAAGGTCCGGATAAGGGCAAGCCATGATGTCAGTTCCCATGCCGCCATGGTCGGACGAGCATCCCACTTCCCAAGAGGAAGCTGGGTAAAGGGGAGGAGATCACGACAAAGGCACGACGAGTTTGGTGAACTCTGGCCGTCGAACACGAGTCAAAAAAGGCTACAAAAGAAGAGATGTAAGAAAGCCGAGTGTCCTAAAGGGGACGGGGGATGTTTGGTGGTTTTGTTTCGCCGATCAACTTTGACAGGACAGGGGTTGTGGCAGTGAACAAAAGTGAGCAGTAAGAAGGGGACATGAGATGCTAAGATCCTTCCCACTGCTTGGCCATGCAGAGAGCCAAGGCGGTCCCTCGAGCTGAGGATCGTGAGTGCTAAGTCATCAACAAGAGTGGGAGCGAGAAGAGGCTGTGCTTCCCTAGTCTCAGCGCATGTCAATTTCATTTCGATCAGGCAAAGCAGAGAGGGGGTAAAGTGACCATCCGATCAACTGCAGGACACGAGAGAGAGCCTCGCATCGTAACCTACGGACAGACCTCGAGAAGGAGCCAACCTGCAAGGAGAAGAAGAAGCTGCACGCGAACCTTGTTTCGTGATACCACAACTTGAAGCCCGATATCAATTGGCTGCTTGTCTGTCAAGGTAAAACTTGCCCTGTGAACAAGTGATCTGCATTCCAGAAAAACCGCTGCAGCTCTGCTTGGCCAGGACTCGGACAACTGCCAGCAGTGCCAGCGCAGACGAAAGGTCGCTAAAAAGGTACCATCGGCAGGGCTGGGTTTTTAGTGAACCAAGTGCGGGTCGTGGTGGCAGCCCCCAGACCACCGAGACTTCTTGGTAAATCCCGCCGATCAGCCAATAACCGAGCGTTTTACGGGCGACTTCTCAGAACACCGTCCGACAAGCAGCCCCTCCATCGGAACGACACCCGTGAGTGATAAGATAACCATGAAATATGAAGTACCCCGGGCAATGATGCACGGGCCAAGGCAGATTTGGTGATTTGACAGGTCCAATACTCGCCCTTGAGCATAACGAGTGCATGAAGCCAAACACAAATGACCGATTTGTTCCTGTCAAGTGGAAAAGGTTGTTGAAGTTGAGAGAAATTCCCGAACCGCGAGGGACGCGTCATCGGCAACCTTTGATGGAGCGGCCAGTCTAACTGGAATTGGTTGGTCAGAGTGGACCGGGGGGCACAGCCTCAAGCTTTCCTTTCGGGACAGGGGGGACGGTCGCTTTGTCTGGAACAGGTGAGGGAAGGCAGCCGCCTAGAAGGCTGGGTGGAGCCTTCCAATTGGCTGAAGGGTCAAGAGTCATTGGCCTTTGGTATCACAGAATCAGAAGTTGACAGAACAGGAAAGCGGGATACCTCAAACTCAAAACACTTCTTGCATCTTGCAGCTTAGCACCTGGTCACGGAAAGAACCGCTGTCGTGTTCTTTTCTCTTCTTGATTGGAAAAGAATCGAATACCTTTCTCTTCTTTCTGACAATCCCCGGTGTAACTTCCACTTGTGCCTTGCCTGAGCTGGTCCCGACTTGCAACCACTTTTCGTGAACAAGTCTCGAGAACCACACTGAGAGAACTCGTTTCTAGCGCCCAGGTGCCACTATACTACTGCTGCTGCTCTCCAAGAACACCGGATTTCAGCCCTTCCTAAAAACGACGACAATGCCTCTCTGCTCCTTGGCCCGTCGCCTGAGGGCTCGTCGGGCATCCAGCCGGAACGGCTCGGGACAACAAGATATCAACGAGAAGCAGACACCACAGCGCCGAAATCAAGTGAACATATCTGCTGCGGTCCTCCGTCTATTGCAGTGTCTCTCAGCCTGGTCCGTCTATGCCACGCTGAGCGTCCTATTCCAGTCTCTTACTTCTGGTGCGCCCTTTGGAGACGACTCTTCTCGAGCGCCCCCAGCCTACATTCGGAAACTTGTAAGTAATGCCTACTCCGCTGGCCCACTTGCCTACTCACACAAGCTCAAACAGACTTCTTCCGATGTCTTGTACCACTGCTCCGTCCTTGTCTTTATCGGGCTGCTGAGGAGAGCCAAGACCTCTGTGACATGGCGGGTGTTTGCAGTGGGTACGATCCTGTTGGACCTGGTCATGATGCTCTTTGCCATCACCAATATTTCCGTCATGAGCGTCATTGCTTTGGCGACAAGCTGCCAGGCTTCTACCAGTAAACACTGTGAGTCTCCCCCAATAGCACTCGGCAGCAAGTAGTTCACCGGCTCACCAAGCTTCAGCCTTCGGAACACTTGATTTGCGCCAACTCGTCACCGACTACTCGAGGTCCGTCTTCGGTGGTCACGGGAACAGTGGGACTGCCGAGAAGATGGAGTTCCTCTGTACTGTGCCCAGAGTTGTCTATGTCCTGTCTATCATTTCTATGTAAGAATCGCTCCTCCTATCCGACGGCTGCTACCAATGCTGATTCCCTATAGATTCTCACATACGCTTTCCATCGTTCTCACGGTTCTGCAATTCCAGCAAAACAAGGCGCAACGGAAAGCAGAAACCATGGGCTTTGCCGGGCACGTCGAGGAGGCTGTTCCCGAAGTGATTTATAACAGACCCAACATTCAAGTTCAACCATTGATGCCACAGCCAGTTCAACAGGCTGAAATGTACCAGCAAAGGCCCAACCACGTCGCGGACCCACGGTTCCAGACACCGGCTCCGACACGGCCCTCGGATCTCCACCAGCAATACCCCGGAGCTCGCTATCACTGGGAGAATCCAAGTCGCGCCACGGCCAACCCTCCGACCGAAGAATTTACGAACCCCCCCGGCTGGCGGTCGTCTCAGGAAACCACCTCCTCATTCAACCCCGATCTCTACCTGGTATCAGACGGCTTCCGCCCTCTCCCATCACCGCCAGCCTATACAAGCAGGCCGTCAAGTCTGTTTGATATCCGTACATGAAGACCGTCTAGAGAGAATGTGGGGAACAACATGAGTGGTGGTTTTATTTCAGTTTGGCAATCAAGACTAGTGCGCGCCATGGAATTAAACTCCAGCGGGGACAAATCTGCCAACCGAAAAGTTTCTTTTCAACCGTGCTCAGTTCGTCGTCGCTTCGCAGGCCTCCTTCGGCCACCTAATAACCCATCCCGTCACCGTCTTGCGGATCTCTTCATCACCCGGATCGTTTTCGAACAAGGGCCGCTCCGTCTTTCGCTCCAGGAATTTCTCCACGATAAAGCCCTTCTCCCGAGCCACGTTGAAAAAGGCCAAGTCTTTGTGCTGTAGCCAAGGTCGGTACGAGCAAAAGACAACAAATGCCTTGCTATCAGGGTGTCGTCGGAGCGAGGTCTCGATCGACTTGACCATGTTTTTGTGTTCGGAGTGTCTAAAGAGCAGATCTGCCAGGATGAGGACATCAAAGCCAGCTGGCTTCTTGCCGTCGGAGCCAGCAGCAGGCAAGTGGGCAAACAACGGCTCGGGGTTGGCGCCCCAGATGTGGCCGTCGGCAACGATGTTCATCTCCTCTCCGTCATCATCAGGGACAAGCATCTCGCAGCCACGAATGTTCTTCCACATTGTGGTGATGAGCTCTGGGTCTGGATAATCCGTCACCACGACCTTTTTGGCGCCGAGGATGGCGGCCACGATGCTGGGCAGACCGGCTGCGGCACCGAGCTCAAAGACTGTACGGTTCCGAACCTCGTCGGGGTGCTCTTCAAAGTACTCTGACACGATGCGGGACCCGTTCCACAGGTGATGAGCCTCGAGCGAGCTGTGGCCGACGAGGTGGAGGGTGATGGACTTGCCGTTCTTCATGGTGTAAGACTCGGTTGTTGGTGGCGGCGTGGGCGGGTAGTAATCGGTGGGGTCCTGGAAAAGACCGCCCGTCTCGCCCTCGTTTTCGGAATCTGAGCTCATATTTTTGGGTCGTGTTTTCTTCTGTATTATATCTTTTGTGTTCTGTTGAGGCTGGCAAGTCGTTAAGACGTTTATTTCTCAGGTGAGATTATTCTAAACCCCCCGTAATCGTAATTATAATACTTCTGTCGAGAGATGCTGGCGAATAATGAGATCTTTTCTGGACGCTTTTGGCTGTGGGGTTGACAGCTCGATCTGAGGAGGGGAGTGTCGAAAAAACGGAGACATTGTATTTTCTCGGTCCAATAAAAAAAGAGTTTGAGGTTCACGTCGAAAAGTTTCACTGTGAACCTGCATAACGTCATGTGACTACCTTGAAAGTGACCACTGCTGGTAGAAACAACCTTGGTTCAAAACATACCCGATAATGAATTAGATTCTGATAATATGTGCAGTTGTGAACAGGCAAGTCTCTTTACTGATCTTGAATTCCCTGTCTTTAGTCTAGTGTCTCTGCACTTTCTGTTTCGAGTTCTGAACCACAGCTTATGTCTCTTTTTGGCAGAGTTACTCACCGGATATCACTCAATCTTTCTATGTCCATGATAAAAGACAAGTCGAGTTGTATATTTGAGCTCAACAAGAAACCAGCCAAACCCAGCCCGGGCGAAGCCTCTCCGCCTCATCCCGGTCCCCACTCCACGTACATACGCAACTGCTGTGGGTGGGCAACCCTAATAACCTCCAGCCTCAACTCCACAAACCCACCCGCCCTGATGAACTTTTTACAAACCGAAGCGTGAATAAAGGTCCTCTTTCCCGAGTCAGTTAACAAGCAAGTAATAAGGGCGTGTGGCTCAGTTGGTAGAGCGTTCGCTTAGCAGCTTCTTTCCCTCTAAATCCTCTCCTTGGAGAGAATTTATATAAAAAGAATTCTCCTGCGAAAGGTCCTGGGTTCGATTCCCAGCTCGTCCATTCAAAGAAAGCATCGGATCAAAGATCCGAAATTCGTGTTTTTTGACCTCCTACCTCAAAGAAAGTTGGGATGGGTTATTTCATTTTTTTAAGGGGGGGGCGGGTTTCTTCTACTTTATTCATATATAAAACATAAACAGCTGGTTCCTGACTTGTTCCTCACAGTTCTTATCGAGGCGCTGCACAGGTGTACTAATTCAAGGAGGATACACAACGTCACAACCTATCTTACCTACTCGCACCAGCTGGCACGGCCGTCCCCCGAAGACAGCATGCTGTGGATTGTTTGTCCCCTCCGCGAGGCCTAAAATTGCAGTGTAGGTCGGATAATCGTCCGAATCTAGGACAGTACGGATACATACATCCAATCACCACATGCAAGTAAAATCGAGGATGACTCTACAGGACACACAGGACTAACTAGACTGGATGTTTCACTGAAACATCATAACGCTGTGTTACTTGCCTCCTGCTGCTCCCTGCACTGTCTCGTGGAGATGGAAAATCATGATTGAGGGCAGGAATATGTCCCAGATATATGGATATTCATTTCTGAGCGGGTACGTACATTCGCTGTTGGCTGGTGGTCAACTTCTTTGAGAACCTAGTTTTGGATAGATATACTCTTGAAGTTGGCTAGCAGTTTTGCGGTGTTGATGATGCTTGTTACTTCTACTGTACTTGTTCTTTCTTTCTGAAGATATGGATATGGATATGGCTCGAGTTCTCTAGGTCTCTGCTTCTACGTTCGCAGTGGATTTCCATATCTTACTTACAACACCCATTTTACAAGTCATGCGTTATCACTACTATGTAGGGTACATTCATGGAAGATTGTCATGTATATGAGTTACTACTCAACCAGACCTCATCAAGGAACCAACATGGTCTTCGTCTTCTGGTGGCTCAGCCATACATAGTACATACGTACTCAGCTCCTCACTGGAGATGGCCAGATTCAGTGGACAAGTCGAGAACTGGATAATCTGTTCTACGAGAGCCCGAGCTCTCCCCCTTTGGTCCTTTTAATTCTTCCATTTAGTAGTGTCCCAGCATATAGACCTGGGTACGGAGAATGCAAAGAAGTCCTCGAGATGAGACAAGCTCACGATGTAATCCTTTGCTGGAAAGATTACATCGTGGGACGTGGACTCTATATTGTTGGCGCGATATGAGGGCATCATAAGTTATGTCTTCTGTCTATATCAAGTGGGTACCTAGGAACCAGGGAAAGTTCGTAGTAAAAGCGAGAAACCCCACTGCTTGTACAAACCGTACGCATAGCGTTGGGTGAATGGTCAGCCGATTGGTTGTTCTGAATTTGGCGGCCTCCCCGCCAGCACTGCAATTTTAGTCCCAAAGGAGGGTATCAACAGCGTCGTCGGTCTACCGGTATGTTCAAGTAAATTTGTTCTTTTGAAACTGAAAACAGAAGTTCCGTGACAGACGGGGGGGGAGGAGACAGAGCACTGCAATTTTAGCCTCCGGGGAGGGGGCATCACAGCATGAACACTTTAAACCAGTGAGGCAGGCTGAGATCTCTGTGGTGGCAGCTCAGTCCAATCACAAAGTTCTAAACAAGGCAGCGGGAAAATGAACGCCAAACTGGCCAAGAGAATATGCACTGTAATTTTAGCCCCCCAGGAGGAGGCATCACAGCATGGACAGTGGCGAGGCTGTCTAACAAAAAAGGAATAAGTTGATTAGATATTCGTCAAAATTCAGCATACGGGTGGGCGGGTACCATCGTTCCCTTCTTAATGCTCACTGTCCCATATTCCATCGAACGGAATCAATCATCTTGGCTGTAAATTCGACTTGGAAAGGTCAAGCGCTATATATCTGCGCGTGATGATCCCAAATATAGGGTACATGAACGTGAAAGTCATATACCTACAGAACAGCATCAGCTGTATTTACAGCTTGGGAAATAAGTGTGAATATTGCCATTCATGAACTGTATTTGGGGTTCGGCTGTGATGATCTTGCTCGACCAAGACGCAATGGAAGTTGTGAAAAGCTCCCCACACCAATGTGAAGCTGTTTACCACTCGGCTCCGACACAAACCAGCCTGTTAGGTAAATCCTAGTAAAGAAGAGCACAGGATCACCAAGCTGGTAGGTATATGACAAGCAATGCAAAAAACTTAACTCCCACCCGCCCCAAACCGCCGTCTAGCCAACTCCCTCAACCTAGCAACAGCCTTCTCCTCGCGCTCCTTAAACTCCCTAATCCTTTCCTCCCGTTCCATGGCCTTCTCCCGTTCCATAGCCTCCCTTCTCAACTGCCGTTCCGAGACTTTAATCTCATGAACCTTCAGCCTCCGTTTCTGCTCTTCCAGACTATCCCCCTCCCCTCCACCCAACAAATCCTCCTCTGGGACCTCCGCCGCACCTGGCGAGCGCTCCCTAAACCCTTTCATCTTTTCATTCACGAGTTTGCGTTTCTCGATTTTCCTCTCTCGTGTGCCGGCGTCGGCGCGGGGGACGATCTCGTCTAGCCTTTCCTTTTGGAGTTTCCTGTCCTCCTTTCTTAGGGCGCGGAGGGCCTCGAATTCTGCTTCGCGGTCTTCGATTTGGGATTCTTGGCGGAGGGTCAAGTCTTGCAGGGTGGGGGCTTCTGCGCCGTGTTTGTGGGGGAAGTCTTTTCGTTGGGTTGGTGGGAGTGCGGGGCCGTAGTCATCGTCTTCGTCGTCTTCCGTGCCCGAGTCCGTGTGGGCTCGCTTCCTTCCTGCTGGTGCCAGGTCCTCGTCATAGTTTTTTTCTCGCTGTGCACCAACCGGGGACCTTGACACTGACTTCTCCTCTTCCTCCTCAACGTCCGACCTAACACGCCCAAACTCATCCATACCGGTATCTCTCTTCTCGTCATCAACGCCACTAGTACTCTCCCTTGTTGCGAGTGTCTCCCCAGCACCATCCCTCCACTCCCTCGTAACGCGCTCAAACAGCTCGGGATCATACCACCCCTCCGCGAGCTCACCTTTATTCCACTTATTCACAAAACTCTTCCACCGCCCGCGGACTTCATCCAGCGGCAACGCGCTGATATCCAGGTTCTTGTGCAAGTCCAGATAATACGCGAATAACGGCTCAAAGGTCCTCTCATCTGCTTTTCGAGAGAGGGCGCGGCTTCCGAATGGGAGGGAAGTAGAGCCGGGTGTCACTTCGCGATTGTGAGAAGGTTCCTGTTTTCGTCGGTGGGGCTCTCCTTGTCTGCGTGACGACTCTTTGGATCTGAGATGCTCATCACGGTGGTGGGAATGGTGTCGGCGATGAGAATGACTGTGACTGTGACTATCATGTCGATGTTGGGGTTGATGATGTCTGTCCCGGTCCCGGTCCCGGTGTCTTCGACCCTCCTCAGGGTCTAGCTGTCTCCGGCGCTTGGGTGACCTGGACCTTGATCTTGATCCGGTATACCCTCGACGGGTGGGTGAATCTGATCGACGTAGTCTAGCCGACGAAGCAACCGACGTAGACCGGCCGGCTCTGTCTCTGCCCCATGAATCATCACCTCTTGTGGCTGCTGTTCTTGTTCTTGAATGGGAGGCCATTTTGTGGGAAATTTCTGATCGGTGAATCCTGTCTGATGTCGTCCCTCTCTCTCGCCTTCTCAGGTCCAGACCTATCTTCTGAGACTCGACAAGAAGACGGTGAGAATCGACTGTCCTTGGTAAGCTGTTTTAGCTCGAGCCGTCTGAAATTCTCAAAGAATATAAGGCTGTTTGTGCTGTGCTGTACGTTCTCTTTTGATGATGACCCTGGCGCGATGTTCTTGGTAAAGAATATATAAAATCTTCTTCCTTGACTCAATCAACTTTTCGGGTTCAGATCAGACTTTGCTGAAGAAAGATTATAAACGGAGAGTGAGCGTGAACCACGGTGGCGGCGGCGGTTGTGACTTCGTAAGAACGGGTCCAATGTATTTGGTATCGTACCGAGTATCAAGCGGAGAGCCACGAGTGGTGATTTAAAATTCGACAGGGATAAGACCAAGAGCTAACGACCGCAAAAAGAGAACGGAAAAGGAAGATACTGTCACGTCTCATTCGAATTTCAAATATTGATGTTGGTGTTGTTATGGTTCAACAAGCTGAGGAAACACAAGAAAAGAACGATGCGGTGGTCCTGTAACATTGGTTCCAAGGTTTTAGGTTGCAAGAACAGCCGCACTCCCGTATCAAATATGTCGTGCTTGTCAATTTATGCAGCACAGACCTGGACACTTGTGCACCGATGCGATTCCTTGGCGCCAATTTATGCAGGGTTCGTTACTTTCTTGAAGATTCGCTTGGGAACTGTTACGGTGGTGCGCAGTCCACCATGGTTCAAAATGGAGTGATTGGTTTTATATGCAGCAGTTTCCAAACGCTGAACCAATATTAAATGTTCCAAGACGCCAGAAAGCTATATATCATATATAGAACAGGAGAGTCGCAGCTGGTAGATTAACATCACAAAATGGGTATATACAAGCCATCGACCCCAGATAATCAACGACGTCGCCAAAATTCAGGCCGCCTTGACAAAAGCTACATCACCCTCACAACTGTACACACACCTTATACTCCTCGTTGGCAAGTCCTTGATCGCAATTACATCACTCCAGGGGAACAGGGTTGTTATGCACCAAACAGCCTATGCACTGGCAATCATCCCCACACGGGCAAGCCTGAATATCTCCCCCACAAGTACCGTCCATCCGAAGCGGAAGGTTCACGAAAAAGTAGTCCACTGTTGACAAGCTTTGCTCGTCGCTGAATCCAGATGCGTCACTGGGCGTCTGCGCATCAGGAGGTGACCCGGGAGGTACGGCAGTCGCAGTTCCATTTCCATTTCCATTTCCAGTACCAGCTCCAGACCCGGCATTCGCGTTGTTGCCAGGTGTCTGCGATGTGAGATCGGATAAAGTCGCATGCCCATTGGTGCCCGTCGGGCTCTCCATGTATGCATTGTTGACGTATTGGAACATTTGGTCATTGAAGGGGTGTGCCAAG